TACATATTTAAAATGTAAGTACTCTGAAAAGGAGAGTATAAAAATCGAGTGTCTGTTGTCCTCTCAGGGCTGCAATAAACACAGCTACTCTTTCCATTCGGAACGAATGCAATGATTGGCTGGGATGACTGTCACTCTCCCTCGCTACCATGGCTACCAACCCTGCTGCTACAGGAGCTGCCCACATGCGCACTCGGTTGACTTGCTCATTTTGGAAGAGGAGAGGCTCTCATCGTGGAAGCTCTTACGTGCAAAACACTGTATATGTTATGAATCTTACACGAAATTCACCTTCATCACAGTGTAACTGATTGTAACGGGAAAACGTGTATCAATGCAACCTGTTTTTAGCTTTGCCTTATGTTACTAGCTCGTTACCGAATCAAACTCAATATATTTTAAACTTTACCAGTATCGATATGCTAGCTTGATAGAGAGTACAAACAGCCATGTTAGTTGTTTATATTCATAATGATAAAGTTAGGTATTTTCTTACATGTGATTCTGACATGATGTCACTACATGCACTGCGCTCCTCTCCGCTCGGCGCTGGTAAACGCGTCCTCCAGCTCCTATTGAGTTTGATTCGGTAACGAGCTAGTCAACCGAGTGCGCATGTGGGCAGCTCCTGTAGCAGCAGGGTTGGTAGCGAGGGAGAGTGACAGTCGCCCAGCCAATCATTGCATTCGTTTCGTATGGAAAGAGTAGCTGTGTTTATTGCTGCCCTGAGAGGACTACAGACACTCGATTTTTATACTCTCCTTTTCAGAGTACTTACATTTTAAATATGTATTGGTATATAAAGAAAGACAGTAGAAAAACCTGCCTTTAAGAAACATTTCTGATTATTATTAATGTTGAAAACAGTTGCATAATATTTTTTGAAATTGTGAAACCTTTTCAGAATTATTTGATTGAGAATAGAATAGAAAGTAAAAAAAAGTCTTTTTAAACAAATGTATTTACTGTAGCTTTTTAAAATCAATTTCAATGCATCCTTGCTGAATAAAAGTATTGATTTTTTAAAAATAAAATCTTACTGATCACACATTTTTGAATGGTAATGTATATAATAAAATATAATATTATATATAATACTAAATATATATACACTCACCTAAAGGATTATTAGGAACACCATACTAATACTGTGTTTGACCCCCTTTCGCCTTCAGAACTGCCTTAATTCTACGTGGCATTGATTCAACAAGGTGCTGAAAGCATTCTTTAGAAATGTTGGCCCATATTGATAGGATAGCATCTTGCAGTTGATGGAGATTTGTGGGATGCACATCCAGGGCACGAAGCTCCCGTTCCACCACATCCCAAAGATGCTCTATTGGGTTGAGATCTGGTGACTGTGGGGGCCATTTTAGTACAGTGAACTCATTGTCATGTTCAAGAAACCAATTTGAAATGATTCGAGCTTTGTGACATGGTGCATTATCCTGCTGGAAGTAGCCATCAGAGGATGGGTACATGGTGGCCATAAAGGGATGGACATGGTCAGAAACAATGCTCAGGTAGGCCGTGGCATTTAAACGATGCCCAATTGGCACTAAGGGGCCTAAAGTGTGCCAAGAAAACATCCCCCACACCATTACACCACCACCACCAGCCTGCACAGTGGTAACAAGGCATGATGGATCCATGTTCTCATTCTGTTTACGCCAAATTCTGACTCTACCATCTGAATGTCTCAACAGAAATCGAGACTCATCAGACCAGGCAACATTTTTCCAGTCTTCAACTGCCCAATTTTGGTGAGCTCTTGCAAATTGTAGCCTCTTTTTCCTATTTGTAGTGGAGATGAGTGGTACCCGGTGGAGTCTTCTGCTGTTGTAGCCCATCCGCCTCAAGGTTGTGCGTGTTGTGGCTTCACAAATGCTTTGCTGCATACCTCGGTTGTAACGAGTGGTTATTTCAGTCAAAGTTGCTCTTCTATCAGCTTGAATCAGTCGGCCCATTCTCCTCTGACCTCTAGCATCAACAAGGCATTTTCGCCCACAGGACTGCCGCATACTGGATGTTTTTCCCTTTTCACACCATTCTTTGTAAATCCTAGAAATGGTTGTGCGTGAAAATCCCAGTAACTGAGCAGATTGTGAAATACTCAGACCGGCCCGTCTGGCACCAACCATGCCACGCTCAAAATAGCTTAAATCACCTTTCTTTCCCATTCTGACATTCAGTTTGGAGTTCAGGAGATTGTCTTGACCAGGACCACACCCCTAAATGCATTGAAGCAACTGCCATGTGATTGGTTGATTAGATAATTGCATTAATGAGAAATTGAACAGGTGTTCCTAATAATCCTTTAGGTGAGTGTGTATATATATATATATATATATATATATATATATATATATATATATATATATATATATACACACATTTTAAAACTTTAAAACTAAAAAATTATTTTTCACTTAGCTAAAAGAATTCATATTCTGTCATCATGATTTTTATTTGTATAAAATCAGGTCATTTTTATTTTAAACCAAAGTTTGTTAACTGCTTTCCTCATCTCTTTGTTTCAGGGAAGCACAAATGAGGTAACCGTACCTGCACACACTTATCTGTCTACTTACAATCACAATCCCACAACATCATACAAACAGAAAGAGACGTCTCACATTAACATGTTGTATCTTCCTGTCCTTCTCGCTCAGGCTCTGTATAAGCTGTACAGTGTAGCAGCAAACCACAGGCAGCTATATAACCACGCCTTCCCTGGACACCAGACTGGTCAACCGCCTGAGCAGGACAAGAAACAAAACTGACCCCACACAGTTTCACGCAGATGCACTGTGGACAGTGACAGTGGAGCGTACAGTCAGAGAGAGAAAGAGGCACGGGACTGTTCGATGCTTTACTGCTACAACAGGAACATATCGTCACTATCACCCACCACTGCAACATCCTCCACCTACAGCTCAGGCCCACAGTCAGACAACGACGAGAATCAGACTGAAAAGAGTCTCAAAAGATTCAGTCTGACTGTACCATTTGCGCCTGAAGTCGAAAATCACGGTATTAGTTCTGAATCACAATTTTACCATCTTCTCACTGTAAATACTGTTTCTCTCTCTGACACTCACATGAAAGGAGTCTGTTCTTATTTTGTAATGGATGTCGTACGTTGAGTTCAATGCTATTTATAAGGGAATAAAGTACTACATGTTTAAAAACACAAACTGTAGTCATTATCATGGGCCAAATAACGTGATGCAGTGATCTTCCATCCCATCATATTTAGGGCAATCTTAACCATTTTCAAAGACATCAAACCTTTAAAAAAGCCTACTTGTATGGGAAAAGACAAATTGCCAAGCTTGTTTCAATAACATAAAATCACCAAGAAAATCTGACATTTATAGTATCATAAATTGTTTTGTTAGCTCATATTAGGATAAAATGTGTTCAGCTAATGCTCACGAATGACTACGGGGCTCATTTATGTGTGCAGAATGATCCTTGATGTGAACGTATGATAAGCTTCCAAAATTTAGATGCCCATATTTAAATTGCCCATATGCACAAAATGATCCTAAATGCATCCCTTTTTATAAACTGCAGATCATCTTAAATTTAAGCGGATCAAATCCATCTACACTGTAAAAAAATATTGTTAGTTTAACTTAAAAAAGAAAGTTACCTGGTTTCCTTAAAATTTTGAGTTAATTTGAGTTGACACATAAAGGAGATTGGTTTAATAAATAGATAATTGATGTGGTTCAGATGTGGCCCATATGCACAAAATGATCCTAAATGCATCCCTTTTTATAAACTGCAGATCATCTTAAATTTAAGCGGATCAAATCCATCTACACTGTAAAATAATATTGTTAGTTTAACTTAAAAAAGAAAGTTACCTGGTTTCCTTAAAATTTTGAGTTAATTTGAGTTGACACATAAAGGAGATTGGTTTAATAAATAGATAATTGATGTGGTTCAGAATCAGATAGCATAATATTTAGAGTTTCTAAGTTGATTTGACAAAAGAAAAAGTGATAAATTATTGAAAATTATTTTTTTTAGTTTACAGAGATAACCCAGAATTATCCCTTTATGGTTCTTTAGAAGTACAGCACTATGAATTCCAGGAAATCATGAACATAAATTAATTCTGTTTTGTAATTATCACAAAGCAGTTAATATGTTGCTCATTTACATATATTAATTCATACTGGACATCATACTCTATTTCTACATTTTAATAAACAACATTGGAAATTTTTAAATACTGGTATAGGCACAAAAAGCTTGTACGCATGCTCTTGCGTTGGCATACGAGTGTTATTTTCACGTCAGCCTTTACCTTTATAAATCCCGATTTGTTCCTCACTCTTGATGTAGGATAAAATCCATCGTATTGAGGCCCAAGGTACCTTTGTGATGCTACTATTTTTGTTTCCAAAATGTTGAATTTTGCATTTGTTTCCAAGTGGCTTTGTCTTTACCCATAAGATGTCCACAAGAGACGTAGAAGGGCTTTCAATTTATATATATTAGGTATATTAGGAAAATTAGGTATTCTGCTCTACTTTCATCAAAATAAAAATAATAACTTTGAAAAGAGGTGAGGAAATTATAATCTTAATTGGGAAGAACATCCTCTCACACATGCGCACAATACAAGATCCTGGTTTATTTAGTGTTGATGCTTAAAATAGTTTTTACAAACATCATTATAACTGAAAAATACAGGCAATAACCTCTTGAAAAAACCCAAATGCCACAGGCACAATCACTTCATCCAAAGTGACGATTCAGCCTGAAAGTTTTGTCTTTAAATATACGAAGCAAATTCCTTAAAAAAGGAATCCGCCCAGATCTTAAAGGATGAACCTCACAGAAATGTTCAAGCCATATTGCACCCCAAAAATCACAAGAAAGAAAGAATATATAATTTGCTTACATAAAATGAAGCACCATGAAGATCTCTCATTACTGTAATGCACATTTTTATTTTATTTTTATTATTTATAATTTAATGGTAAAACCGTTAATTTATGCTGTTGTTATTAATCCTAAAACAAGCTTCATTTTCTTTACAAACTATAAATTCCTTTTTTTTTTTTTTTTTTTTTTTTTTTTGGGGTAAAATGTGAACTGGATGCATTTTTTATGAGATTCATCCAAAAAGCAAAACTACCATTGCGCAGTCTGATAAAACATAAAACATTGAAAACTGATAGTTATGATTGTCCATACAGACAATGCCATAAAGAAGGAGCGAGTCCTGACATGCGCAAACACATTCACAACACACAGTCAAAACCAAAGCAGACTCATAACACACAGCCGTATAATGGCTGATAATCTATATAGGCGTAATAGTGTAAAGTTTCCAACATGCTTTGTGTGGCGTCTCTCTTTGGGCGTTTATATTTGGAGCTGTTTGAGGAAGTAAATGAGAGTCTGCATCAGCAGCTAAGGCACTGATAAGGCTGGTGTGTCTCATTCGAGTCACATGTTCGGAGGGAAGTTTTTGGCTGGCTGTTGGGCATACCACTGCTGCCGCTGTTTGCGTGTGTCAAGTTCGGTGAGCAGCGCTTGTCGATATGCTTCATAGGATTTAACGATGCACTCCAGCTCTTTCATGAAAAGCAGCTTCAACATCCCCTGATATGTGTCCAGATCCATTAACTGGAAGAGTTCCCACTTCAGGATGTGGTCATACCTGAGACAAACACAAACACACACACTGATATGACTGAAGATTAATGACACTGGCCTTTACAAGACTCCATCATCACGACATGTTTACAGCCTCTGGTGGCTTCCAGGAAGCAGCCAATGAAAAACTTTATGGCGCTCTTTAATAAAAAAATACTTCTGGCTGATGTATTTGCTGAAAAAACATCTTAATCTAGCCTAAACTGGGTTGCAGGTCTCCAAACATAGTGGTCTCTTGGTTGGTTTTAGAAGGGTTTTCATCTTTTATCACCAAACAAGCTTTTAAGATACACTTTGGCTGCATAAAGGTAGGTAGGGTATGCAATTTTGGAGAGGCTAGCAACAGCAAGCTAGCTTTGAATGCATAAGAGTCTCTAAAGAGCTTCTCTTAAAGGGATAGTTCACCCCAAAATGAAAACTCTGTCAGTAATTACTCACCCTCATGTTGTTCCAACCCCGTAAGACTTTCGTTCATCTTCGGAACACAAATTAAGATATTTTTGATTAAATCTGAGAGCTGGATCACTCCTCCATAGGCTTCTGAGGGGATTGAAACTTGCCGGCCCAAAAATTATGAAAGACATCATTAAAATAGTCCGAGTGACTACAGTGGCTCAATCTTAAGTTTATCAAGCGACGAGAATACTTTTTGTGCGCAAAAAAACAAATAATAACAACTTTATTCAACTATTCATTTCCTTCTCTGTGGGCCGTGCCCGTGAGATTTCACGTAGTGATATTGCGCAAAGCTTCTGTGTTCTACGTCACACGTAGGCTCACTATTGGCCGACGCTGGTCATGTGTGTGATGTGTGTGATGCGTGTGACGTACAACCTAGAAACTTTGCGTAGTTTCACTACGTGAAATCTCGAGGCCAACAGAGAAGGAAATGAATAGTTGAATAAAGTGGTTATTTTTGTTTGTTTTTTTGCGCACAAAAAGTATTCTCGTCGCTTGATAAACTTAGGATTGAGCCACTGTAGTCACTCGGACTATTTTAACGATGTCTTTCATAACTTTTGGGCCGGCCAGTTTCGATCCCTTAAAGGGATACTCTACTGGTTTTTCATATTAAACTATGTTATTCCCTTAACTAAGACGAGTTGATACATACCTCTCTCGTCTCAGTGCGTGCACTCAATCGCTGTCTTGCGGCGAAACTTTGTTAGATCTTATCTCAGCCCTGTTCATTCAATACGTGCCAAGAAGAGAAGCGACCAAACACCTCCACGTTTTCCCTATTTAAATACAGTTACTAGAGTAGTGTAACTCGACCAAGAACGGTGACACAAAATGAAACGTTGCGCTCTTCTAAGCGTGTAAAATGGATAACTATATTGTATGGCAGAATACCATAGCAAGTGCTTGGGAGCACTTCGACTCGGCGCAGTAATATCATCTCTCGTGAAAAATCCTCTCCCCTGCTCCGTCTCCTCCTCCCTCATTTCAACGGGAGCGGACTTTTCACGAGAGATGATAAGTCGAAGTGCTCCCAAGCACTTGCTATGGTATTCTGCCATACAATATATTTATCCATTTTACACGCTTAGAAAAGCGCAACGTTATATTTTGTGGGGCGGCAGTGGCTCAGAGGTTCATGTAGGTTGTCTACAAACCAGAAGGTTGGTGGTTCAATCCCCGGTTCCACCTGACCAAGTGTCGAGGTGTCCATGAGCAAGACACCTAACCCCAGCTGCTCCCGACGAGCTGGATGCCGCCTTGCATGACTGACACCGCCGTCGGTGTGTGAATGGGTGAATGTGAGGCAATATTTAAAGCGCTTTGGTGGCCATTGGGTCTGTGAAAGCGCTATATAAATGCAGTCCATTTACCATTCAACGTTTTATTTTGTGTCACCGTCTTAGGTCGAGTTACACTACTCGTGTAACTGTATTTAAATAGGGAAAACGTGGAGGTGTTTGGTCGCTTCTCTTCTTGGCACGTATTGAATGAACAGGGCTGAGATAAGATCTAACAAAGTTTCGCCGCAAGACAGCGATTGAGTGCACGCACTGAGACGAGAGAGGTATGTATCAACTCGTCTTAGTTAAGGGAATAACATAGTGAAAAACCAGTAGAGTATCCTTTAAGGCTTTAAGAAGCCTATGGAGGAGTGATCCAGCTCTCATATTTAATCAAAAATATCTTAATTTGTGTTCCGAAGATGAACGAAAGTCTTACGGGGTTGGAACAACATGAGGGTGAGTAATTACTGACAGAGTTTTCATTTTGGGGTGAACAAACCCTTTAAACCACGCCTCCTTCAAAACACATGAACACGCACAGCAGAGTCTGCAAAGCATCACGAGACAAAAGACAGCGTTAAATTACCTCATGTCTCAAAGAACTTAAACAACTTACTCTTAGTTGTACCACCTGACTGCTGCAGATTTATTTTGGCATTGATAGTGTTGACATAGAAACGCCTAAATCCGAGTCTGAGGACGTGAACAGGACGTGAACAGGACGTGAACAGCTCCGGCTGTCACGGGTTGCCATCTCATAATCATGGTTATGATATGGCATGAACACAGCATAAGTTTATTGTTTTGGTTCAGGAGGAACTGTAAAAGTCGGTGACTGTCTGTCCACAACTCTGCATGCGGAACATGCTGATGACGTGATGTCTGCGTGAGCAGGGTGCGAGGAGGTATGGAAATATATATGTTGACTTGACAAGCAGGTAGGACATCGTATCATTGCATTTGGAACGAATGCACTGATTGGATGAACATTTTTTAGTCCTGAGCTGAATAGAAATACAAAATTAAAAATAAATGCCAATTCAAAATATTAATTAATACTATAATAGTATATAGAAAATACTAAAATAAAAATGCGCAATCTGTAACATTTTAATTAAAAATGAGAATCGAACTGACAAAACCCTAGAAGAGTCATGTTTGAAGTCCCCTAAAAAATGTAAAATAGCTGATATACAGGTGCACACCTGTGACTGCACATCAGTTGAACTCTATTATAAAGTTCAGAGCCATTGAAAAACAGTTCTCAGCACCACGTGGTTCATGGAGCTCTCGATAGTTCCAAACAACTTCTGTTTGAATGGGTGTAAGCAAGACAGACAGCAGGTTCACTATATTTGCAGCAATTTCTGGTAAATATAAACGCATAATGTGCATTAATTACTACGCTGATGACATTCACAGTAGCATTTGGGGAATGATAAAGAGACAACATTAATATGTTTTTCTCTAGTTTAACCCGTATTCCTTACTTTGGTCACACTCATACTCCTTGGCGATCAAAAGTGACCAAACTTATCAGTTAACTAAATGTACTACATTTTAGTTGAATAATATGCATTTAATATTTTGAGGAGATTAATGATCATTTAAAATACTTTTTTAATATATATATTTTTTAAATAGGTTTATAATTATTATAATTACTGTAGTATTTAAGGTTAAAATAGAGTAAAGGTTTTAAAATTTCAATGCAAAGAGGCAAATTAGAGGCATCTATAAATGTGTCTGGAAAAGTAAAATATATATTATTGGTCTTTAATATTTATATACACACACATGTATTAACTCTAATCTAGTTGCTAAAAAGAGTATAGCCATTTATAACAGCTTACTTAATTTTTATTTTTTTCATTTGAATATACATTTAGACATTATCAAACACTATTTTTTTATTTTATTTAAAAAGGTTAATTACTCACATCCTAATGTTATTTTATAAGCACAAGTTATTATTTCACATAAGCATACACAAGTGAATATTAATGAATGTAAGCAAACTAAAGAACCCAGACACAAAACAAGGCGACCAATTGCATTCAACCAAACTCTTTATTATATAATATAAAGTGAGAGGCTACATAAATTATTCTTTGAATGGGCAATCTTCATAGAAACTCATTTGACCTCCTACAGGGAGAGAAAGATTGCAGAAAGACTAAAAGCTGTTAAAAATATGACAACTAACTAGTATCTAGTTATGGTAGCTATTTAAGTGTTTCTCACGTAATCTAACTGCAATTAGAATCTAACTATCTATAGACCTTATTCACAGCAGCGCCATCTTTGATTTTTAACAGGAATGAAAGAGAGGCTGTGAGGGATAGCTAACATCTCTTCAGCGGGTTGTACAGTTATTTAATGTGTTTTTGGGATGTTCTGCAGATGAAACACTGCAAAAATATATTTTCCAATAAATTTCAGTAGACAAAAAACTCAAGACAACATGAGTTGTGGAAAATTATAAGTGATCTAGGAGCTTTATACAGCTTTTTACAGCGGATGAAATTGAATCCACGATAAGTCTATCCCTCCCAGCCTCGCTTCCATACCTGTCATGGCACTGTTCACAATCAGGTCTATTATCTATGATAAACGTGTTACATAAAATTCCGGATAGGTCAAAACCCGGCAAAATGTCTGTTGCCGTCTGTCGGTGTGAATTGGCCTTAATGCGTTAAGATGTCAAAACATGCAGTCATTTCATTTCATCAACTTACCAGCATGTGTGCTTGAGAAACACTGAAATGAATGGGGTTCATTGCTAGAACTATTCAGTGTTTGGAACTATATTGGTTTCTCCACCACGACACAAGTTACTTCCGCATTCCACAATTCCTATGGAAGTTAGCGGAGTGTTGCAACTCTGTTTTTCAATGGCTTTGAACAAGTGGCAATGTTGCTCAGCAACCGTAAACAATCTAGTTACATCATGCCTATACTGGACACATACAGTGTGGCATGACACTTCAAAATGAAAGCACTCCCATTACAACCAACGAAGCTGTACACCAATGCGGCCATCTGCGAGGCAGATTGGAGTGTATGTGAGAGTTGTTTGTTTGCTGTTAGATTGCTGCACCTCAGGGTTTGGCTGTCTGTGAAACTTACTTTAGTGGGGCTCTGGCATACACCTGCAGCCAGTCTGGGATCTCGGCTGTGTGATACGGGTTTGCTGGCACCAGTACGGGCTGGTTGCGTTCTGGTGGGCGGGGCTGGTAGGTGACTGGCGGGGGAGGGGGCTGGTCATAACGTGGAACACTGAGGTAGAGTGAGAGCGGAGGTTGCGTGTGTATTTTGGATACAAAATGGCACCAAACAGTCTCAGAATGTGCTGGAACATCTCAACACTCACCTGGGTGCGCAGGGGTGTCTGTATTGGGCACGTTTGTTGATGTGGTCAACATAATACACTCCAAACTCAGCTGACTCCACCCTCTCCCAGCCCGGCGGAAGCCCCTCCCTCTCCAGCGGGTGGCTCCAATGTGTTGTGTTTGTGTTGTGATCGATGTAATACTTCCGGCCTCGAATCGTCCAATCAACAGTCCAGCCTGGAGGAAGAACCATCTCCTCTCCACTCATCGTAGTCAGATTACCCACCGACTTCGCTGGCACACGGCCGATTGCTATAAAAGCACATACATAGTGAAGTATTACAGATCTGTTTCTTTGTGTATTTCAATTTATTTTCAATTTGAACACAAAGGAGGAGGTGTGAAATTAAAGAGAGATGGGGAGAAAACAACAAGTCACAGCTGCAGGGTCAAATATAAAACAACAGCCCCAAGAGAACTACGAAAAGTTCAGCAAACACACACCACTCACCACACACACCACACGGTGAAGAAAAGGGCAACCCAGAAAAATCCACATTTCTTTCAATCTCACACACAATGAGAAATACCGCACCAGAGTGACAGCCGAGAAAGTGTGTGTGTATTAAGCACAAGTGTGTGTAGAAAATGTAGGAAGTAGGGCTGGCAAAAAATCTTAATATTTATTTATGTATATTTGTGACAAATTTGCTGGTAATACAAAGCAACATTGTAAACTTTATCTCATCTCTTGCTTATTCTTCAGTTGCAAAATGCTGTTAGAGTTGGTAAGTTTGATTCATTTCTATGAATCTATGCTATGGACTTGTTTGCATCATTCAGAAATGTTCGCTTAAATTTTTTGTATTAAAATGCTTCAGTAAATAATATATGCAGGTAAATATTTATGTTTATTATACATATAGTTTCCATAAAAAATATTTATCAGCACAGCCGTTTTCGATATTGTTAATAAAAATAAATGTTTCTTGAGCATCAAATTAGCATATTAGAATGATTTCTGAAGGATCATGTGACACTGAAGACTGGAGTAATGATGCTGAATATTCAGCTTTACCATCACAGGAATAAATTACATTGTAAAAAATATTTTAACTTGTTACTGACCACAAACTCTTCAGGTAACTCACAGTAGTGTATCAAAACAATATATATAATATCAGGAGTCAGGACAATTTTAGCTATATCCCTCAGCTCTAATCATGAGCATATCTTTTTGAAGGAACCAATAATCCATCTGATTCTGCATATTATAAAATTTTAATCTATAATTCTTTCTGTTCATTCATTCATTCAACCTAATACTTTTCTGCACAGCTGTCACCTGACATTCTTAGCGCATATACACTCACCGGCCACTTTATTAGGTACACCTGTCCAACTGCTCGTTAACACTTAATTTCTAAGCAGCCAATCACATGGCGGCAACTCAGTGCATTTAGGCATGTAGACATGGTCAAGACAATCTCCTGCAGTTCAAACCGAGCATCAGTATGGGGAAGAAAGGTGATTTGAGTGACTTTGAACGTGGCATGATTGTTGGTGCCAGAAGGGCTGGTCTGAGTATTTCAGAAACTGCTAATCTACTGGGATTTTCACGCACAACCATCTCTAGGGTTTACAGAGAATGGTCCGAAAAAGAAAAAACATCCAGTGAGCGGCAGTTCTGTGGGCGGAAATGCCTTGTTGATGCCAGAGGTCAGAGGAGAATGGCCAGACTGGTTCGAGCTGATAGAAGGGCAACAGTGACTGAAATAACCACTCGTTACAACCGAGGTATGCAGCAAAGCATTTGTGAAGCCACAACACGCACAACCTTGAGGCGGATGGGCTACAACAGCAGAAGACTCCACCGGGTACCACTCATCTCCACTACAAATAGGAAAAAGAGGCTACAATTTGCAAGAGCTCACCAAAATTGAACAGTTGAAGACTGGAAAAATGTTGCCTGGTCTGATGAGTCTCGATTTCTGTTGAGACATTCAGATGTTAGAGTCAGAATTTGGCGTAAACAGAATGAGAACATGGAACCATCATGCCTTGTTACCACTGTGCAGGCTGGTGGTGGTGGTGTAATGGTGTGGGGGATGTTTTCCTGGCACACTTTAGGCCCCTTAGTGCCAATTGGGCATCGTTTAAATGCCACGGCCTACCTGAGCATTGTTTCTGACCATGTCCATCCCTTTATGGCCACCATGTACCCATCCTCTGATGGCTACTTCCACCATGTCACAAAGCTCTAATCATTTCAAATTGGTTTCTTGAACATGACAATGAGTTCACTGTACTTAAATGGCCTCCACAGTCACCAGATCTCAACCCAATAGAGCATCTTTGGGATGTGGTGGAACGGGAGATTCGCATCATGGATGTGCAGCCGACAAATCTGCGGCAACTGTGTGATGCCATCATGTCAATATGGACCAAACTCCCTGAGGAATGCTTCCAGCACCTTGTTGAATCTATGCCACGAAGAATTGAGGCAGTTCTGAAGGCAAAAGGGGGTCCAACCCGTTACTAGCATGGGGTACCTAATAAAGTGGCCGGTGAGTGTATATATATATATATATATATATATAACACCATGACATATATATATAAATAACATTTATAACGCAAATAATATAGTAACATTCCGTAACGTTGACAGCACTAATATATATATATATATTAGGGCTGTCAACGTTACGGAATGTTACTATATTATTTGCGTTATAAATGTTATTTATATATACATTTCGATACATCGATACATTTTTTTTTAATTAATTGCAATTTTTTTCTGTAATTATTAATCACGATTAATAAAACCTAAAATTTAAGTTACATCTTTATATTTGAATAATGTCACATCATTAATCTCCAAATTAACGTGAAAAAACAACAAAGCCAGTAGCCTATAGTGAGTCTGCACAGTAGTGAGCGTGTAGTGGAGCCGCGGTATCAAGGTCCTGCCCACACTCCCGCAGAATCAATCGCAAGCACACGCGCCTCAACTTTTTTAAGTAGACTGACTGCTCCAATTTTGATGTCTGCTGATTGTAATACAACTGAAGGCTTGTGAAAATAAGGTAAATACAACTAGTCATATCCCAAAAAATGCTGTTGCTGCCTCCATGACTACTTCACTCAGAGAAGCTGTCAATCATAGCTGTCAATCATGATGTCACACCCCCGTTTTAAAGCATCAAATAACTAACTAAAACCAAACATATATAAAGAACACTTTAACTTACATCAGTGCGATAAAAACTGCCTAAAAATTTTTTTGAAGTGTAATTTGATTGTTTCAGTTTGGCTTAAGTCCCATTTGTTTACATGGAGAGGGCGGGTTCATCAAAATGCTTTTGTTTACTTTTCAGGATGTGTGCGGCACACCCGGTCTCATATAATAAACAGTATAATATGGTCTCATAAATAGAGACAGTTTATGGCCGTGTATTTATAGTAAAGAGCGACAGTCATGTTTGTTATTTCATGAGGTGTCTATCATGCATGCGAGTGTGAATGCACACAGGATGATATGTTCCTCACCTGGGGGTGGGCGACTATGTGGCTGGGGCGTCTGGGGCTGTCCTGGGTTTCGTGGGTAGTTGAGTTCATTGTGCTCATAGTACCTGTAGCTCTCATTAAAGTGGTCTTGTCTGTGGGCTCGTCTGGGTTGGTTATTGTAGTACGGCTCTGGAGGATAGTAATACGGGCCGCCATCTCCATTCTCTGTCACCGAACCAGCATCGCTGATGTAGGATGGCGAGGAAGGGGAGTAATCGCGATGAAGGTGTGGTGGGGCAGAAAGCCGATGAGTCTCCCTGCGGGATATTTCGAGGGGGGTCCGTGGAGGTGCGTTGCGCAGGAAACTCTTGGGGCCGCTAACGTCCCCAACAGAACCAGAGGAATACGGACCTGCACCAGACACCCCCGCCGGAACTGGCTCCACTAACGGGGGCTCACGCCGAAGAAATGTTGGATGCCGGATAAACGAGGGCATTAAATCTGAGAAAAAAACAAGGGAGAGGCAGAAAAGAGAAACCTAGAGTAAGTGGACCAAAACATAGTCAACAATATTTCATTTGTAAAGAATGCTTAAGATTAATTTTATCGAACAATTTTACATCCATTTTCCAGAATACAAAAAGTGCTAAAGTGATACAAATTTAAGTTGCTCCAGATGTGCACAGATAGACTACAGCCGATTGGAAAATATCTTGAAACTTATCATTTCTAGACTCCTCTGCCTTTTAAGTCCCCAATGTAAGTTATGGCATTTATAATGTTGAAGTCCAACTACTTATATTTCTAATGAGATATTAAAAAGCATATTATATATTTAAATAATTTTCCTGGACTACAATTATTTTCCCATGTCCCCAGAGCAGCAATTTTTATTCTTACAAAAATAAGAGTGAAAATAATTGGATTTCTATTTTTTCCCCCACCAATACAAAGTCTATGACTATACTATGCAAAACACACTTGTGGCTAATTTGGAGTGAAACTGAAAGTTTTTGTGTCCCTTGAGTTACTGTTTACCAATTATGCCCTGATACTTTGACTTAGAGTTAAAGAACTATGCAACATTAAAAGATAATAGTGTAAAAACAAAAAAGTTCTACTTCTAATATTAATAATATTAATGAGCAGATGGCACTTTTGATTGATGCAAAAGGTAGACGTTTATTTGGCTGATAGTAGGCTATGTAACTGTAACTTACATATTGTAAGCCTTAATTAATTTACAACGAAACATACTTAAAAATTTGGTTTAATTTTCAAAAGTTTCATAGCTCAACATGCACCGAATGACCACATTACATAAAAATGTATATCTATTTATTTATTTGAGGGTTTTGTTAGGCATATTGACTTAAAAGTTACTCACTTCTCAGAAGCGGGGAAGTTTCTTTCTTCACATATTTGCCCTGAACTTCGGCTGGCTTGGACGCTTCGTTTTTACTCTTCTTTCTGGAGAGCATCGTTAATCCGAATCGATTCTGGCCCGATTAGACTTCGGTTTCATCCTGAAATCCGGATCGAGAATCGCACTGACACGCAGAACCGAGACCATTTCGGAGCGTAGCCCGATAGCTAGTTTCGAGTCATCATGGCTACAATCTGTAAACATCAACACAAAACAAACGAGTTTGCGTTTAACGAACGCTTCGTTGTTTTCAGTGTTTAGTCGAACATTACGAATATTTTTCGACGACTAATTAGCGCTCCCCGCGCGCGCTGTCCAAATTACGCCCAGAGAAAAGCGCACGAAAACTTTTACCAGCTGAATGTGTCCACCCAACCCAACCCTCACCATCTCCTCCTGATCCCAGACCAGCTCTCACTGGATCCCTCCCCGCTACCTGATCTCAGATCAGCTGTTTGGATCTATAACTTCCAACTGCCTGATTACAGATCAGTTCACTTTATTTTCAGATTCAAGAGATTTATTAGTAACGTTATAATCCCCAAAAGAGCGAACATTAGTAACGCATTAAAGAGTAACGTTATCCGTTCAACTACGCACACACAACGTGGAAGTGTCTTTAACCGCTCCTAGATCACCTCTCTCTAGATTGCTCACTCCCCGCAGCAGACTGATCCCAGATCAGACCTTCCCTAAGGCATGTCCTTAGAGGTGCAGTGCATTGTGGGAAATATTTTACTCTCGAACTTCTTTTCTCTTTCACATTTTTATGGTTTCGCTGCAGGACAGATATAATGGTTTATTCAACACATCGTGTTTAATATAAAGATAAGTAGGCACTTTCCACGAACAGGGTACAAATACAGGGTCTGTTTTATTTGTCTTTATTTCCTGTGGGATTTAACATAAAGTGGGACATACTGTATACAGTATGGAGTAAAACACTTGAAAATAAAGTTTTCACATCTATATTGCTAAAGAGAAATGCGCAGTCTTTATGCATTCAAAAGGAAAACTCATAACCAATGTTTCCTAAAACTATTTATTTATTTTTTTACAAAAAAGAAAGTTTTGTGTTTTTACATTCAAGTGTTATACAATTAACACGTAAAAGTAAGTTACCGTCATTTTCATGACAAATAGTGGTAAAGCATAGCTTATATACTTCACCAAAGGCTGTTACAATGCTAAAAACACAAGGGCACAAAATTCAAAGCAATTTCAAAATGTTTAAATGCCTTTAAATCTCTGTGCATTTTTCCACCAAAGCATCAAAGCTTGTAAACTGCATTCGTTGAGAGACGCCTGAAATGAAACTTCATAACCAGCAATTTTCTTCTCCACACACAAATTATACAGTGGTAACCATGAGGCTGAAGTCTCCAAGCTCTGAGTTTCTTTTAATCCACATAAATATTTTAATAGATACCCTATTATTCATATTTACAGTGCTCATAATGCATGATTACAGTTCATAAATGAAAAATAGGTACACAAAATAAATACACAGCAAAAAGTCCTGCTGCAACTAAAGTAACGTTATGGGATGTTTTATTTTTTTTGGTGCACATTCTCAAGTAAGAAGGTTTATATTAACTAAACAATCCCAAAGACATAAAATGCACTATAACAAACAGGAATAAACAGTGTGACATTTGCCCTTTAATTTCCTTCTCTGAGACGTAGGGAATCACTGACCTTGTTTGCATTTCACTGAAAACTATGTAATGACAGGCGGCTGCGTGTGCGCGCGCGCGTGTGTGTGTGTGTGTGTGAACACTGGGGCCTCAGCTGTTGGACAAGCTTCTCTAGGTCTAAGGAATTTTACCATTCCTTAAGACAACCTTCCAATTGCAGTTTAAGGTCCAGACTCACCAGACATATTACAGTACGGCTCAGTAAAAAGAAACTGCTATAAAATTCAAATCAAATCATTAAGAGCAATAAAAAAATAAATAAAAATAAAGCAGCCATATGCCCTTAAGTCTTGATTTTGGGGTCTACTAAGAATGTTTTCATGCTTGAAAGCTAATTTTTCACTTATTTTACATTGTTGCAGCTCCTCTCTTCCCAGTCTGTTAGTAACACTCTGTGTAGTTCCTGCTTCTATGAAGCCCCTCCTTACAAAAAGCACTATGGGCTCTGATTGGTCGGCTGGACCAGTGTGTTGTGAATGGTCAACCACTTCAAGCGTGTTTGGCCCCCTTTATCATAACCATGAATTTCAACCTCTATGGTTTCAACACACTACTAACAGGCCTAACCCCCTTGTTTTGCAAATGCCTTGGGCGAGAATTATTTAAATGAGGAATATCGTGACATGTTCATTCCTGAAAGAAAACTGAAGACTACAATAGAGATGGTTTTCTTTAAAGGAATGGTTCACCCAGAAATGAAAATGATTGGGAAAGAGATTTGAGTTGTATGGCAGAGGGGAAAATTTTCAGTAAATAAATACTTATATTTCGGTCAGTTACACAAAGCTTTCGTATGGCTACGGAGACTTAGAATATAGTGCACAAGTCACACATGTACTACCTGCATTTGTTGTCCTTATTGTAGCTTGACTGTTTGGAATGGCTTGTGTGTAATACAGTAAAATCAGGAGCGTGTAAAGTGGTAGGGCGCAGGGGTCAAAGGGGAAGGGCCGAGGTCACGGACGATCTTGTTGAGGCTAGAAATTTTCTCTTCTAGCAGGAAGTTCTTCTTCTCTGCTACTTTCTGACGCTGTTCGGTTTTCTCCAAGGTTTTGAGCAGCTGAGCGTTCTCCACGTACAGGTCTTTGATCAACACGTCGGACTCACTGTTCCTGATCAACTACAGAAGCAGAGAGAACAGAACAGGTCAACTGGAAGTTTGGTTTGGAGTAAAATGGATTATCAAGAATGTGTCAAAGGGCAGGGGAGCATGTTTGTGCATTTCTGTACCTGTTCTTTCAGCTGAGACACCTTCTCCTGAAGCAACAGTTTGAGGTTTCGGAGCATGAGCTCGACTTCTCTCATTCTCTCCTCCATTTGTAAAAGCGCCATCTCCCGCTCGTCCTGCTGGGCATACAGATCAAGGTCAGAGGTCACAAGGTCTGCTAAAAATCGGTTGCCTTAGTTATTCTAAGAGCGGCTGTGGTGTCTAGCATAATTAAATTAACAGTTAATGACCTTTCATGGTCTCTGTACCTTCCCTTACTTGTATATGATCTATTATTGAGTTTTTTCAGTTTTGATTAATGAGCAATGAAAACAATTAAAAGTACGAAAACTGTTTTTGTAATATTAATAGTGTAAAATTAGGGAGATGTTAAGAGGTCACGGACAATAATTAAAAAAAAATAATTAAACACTACGCAAAATATTTCACCTAATAGTTTATTTGGTCTCAATTTTTATATATATAAAAAACACATTCACATCAATAAATGGACATAAAACATTTAAACCAAGAAAAGCAACATAACATAATCCAACTAATAAAATAAAAATCAATAAATTAAATAAATAAATAAACATTAATTAATTATAAATGCCACAATGTTCAGTAAAAACATGTAGAGGTAGATAAAGTGGTGGATTGAGTCTTCATTAAATAAAATAAATACGAAAATAAAATAAAATACAAAAGCTGGATTTATCTCAGAACAATCATTCATTTCAGCTGTAATGCGGTATCATGTTAAAACTGATGCCATAACAGTGCAAACTTTTAAAAAAAACAATACTGCTTTTTCAAATGCTTGAAAATCTTAAAATAAATTCAAACATGGATTATACTTCCCCTAATGGGATTTAATGTCAAAATCTTAGCTTATTTTACCAGATATATGTGCCATCATCTGGATGACAGGAAACGACTCACAGCCAAGAGCATATGCAGTATGACGCCACCTTGTGGCAGTTGTAAACCACTACCATTCTAAATCAGACAGGACATTGGCCTTAACAACTCAAACAAAAACAACAAAATCTGTCAGGAAGGGTTCGGTGATTGGGGTACACAGAGTAAAGGTCAGAGTTCAATTGGGATGTGATGTCACAGGTTGCCACTCTCCTATGTCTGTTAGTGATGATGTCACAGCTCTTACACCTGCAGAGAAACATACACACAGTGCTATATACAAACATCTCATATCCACACACAGCTGTGACAGAACAGACTTGGACAGGTACAAACTCAAAAGCATATAAGGCCATTAATAAAGACACACCCAACACCATTCAATTAAACAACCTAGGGGGCGCTCTAACACTGCTACTACACAGAAAACTGACCCAGTGCTGCCCACACGCTTCTTAAAGAGTGTGAATACAAAGGATGACGAGTGTTTTCCAGAACAAAGCAAACAAACAGACGACCCCAAGTGACCAAAGAAAACCTGAAACTTCAGAGACCAGACGCACACTAAATACTCCTCAGAGAGTGCTGCACAAGCATATACGTACACCGTGACAGAGTGTGCACTGACCCGAGAGAATTCTCATGTTGGCTGTGATGCTGAGTGTTTGGGTGAGTGTGTTACCTGCATGTTGAAGTCTGGGCCGTCACTATAGTGCTGTCCTCTCTGTTCCCCCGGAAACTGTAGAGGAGATGAAGGCAAGACTGCAGACAGATGAGCCTGAAACAACAGAGAATCAGTGTGTTGTTATGAGGAAATGCGTGTTTGTGCACATGATAAGGAGTGTTAAATGAATCAAATCAACTACTGACAAGAAAAAGAAAAGTATATATATAAACATTAACTATGGAGGCCCAAACCTGCAGAAAAATAAATAAAAATAATGATAAAACATAATTTATAGTCCTGAATTTACTTTAGCATTACTTTAGTCACTGTCAAGGCCAAGGGACAATGCATATTTTGCCAAAGTGAAACAATAATACAATAAAAAATAAAACTATAAATAAATAAACTTTATTCTAGGGCTGTCAAATGATTAATCACGATTAATCACATCCAAAATAAAAGTTTTTTTTACATAATATATGTGGGTGCACTGTGTATAATTATTTTGTATATATATATAAATACACACACATGCATGTATATTTAAGAAAAAAATATAATTTATATATAAAATATTTATATTTATATATAATATAAATTATATATAAATCTATATACAGTATATACATGAAAATATTTCTTAAATATATACAAGCATGTGTGTGTATTTATATATATAAAATAATTATACACAATGCACCCACATATATTATGTAAAAAAAACTTTTATTTTGGATGTGATTAATCGTGATTAATCATTTGACAGCCCTACTATATTCATTATTTATAAATCATGTCAAAGTTAAATAAAATCATGGAGAGGTAGATAAAGCGACAGACTGAGTTGAAATCAAAATTGACAAGGAAAAAAGAAAAACCAATCAGTGCTATTAATTACTTCCTGACTGTTGACTTGAATAAAATATGAAAATAATGTTTTAGTTACATGATTAGTAAGTCTTTGTCATTGCTTTAATTAAATGTTTCTGTTAATATTCATTTAAAGGGATACACTACACGAGTAGTGTAACTCGACCTAGGACGATGACACAAAATAAAACGTTGCGCTTTTCTAAGCGTGTAAAATGGATAACTATAATGTATGGCGGAATACCACAAGTGCTTGGGAGCACTTCGACTCGGTGCAGTAATATCATCACTCGTGAAAAGTCCTCTCCCCCTCTCACTCTCCGAAGTGATGATATTACTGTGCCGAGTCCATAGATATTATTGCGCCGAGTCGAAGTGCTCCCAAGCACTTGTGGTATTCCGCCATACAATATAGTTATCCACTTTACACGCTTAGAAAAGCACAACATTTTATTTTGTGTCACCGTCCTAGGTCGAGTTACACTACTCGCGTAACTGTATTTAAATAGGGAAAACGTGGAGGTGTTTGGTCGCTTCTCTGCTTGGCACGTATATAATGAACTGGACTAGTTAAGTGCTATCAAAGTGTCTCGCGCGCCAGAGCGATTGAGTGCACGCACCGAGACGAGAGAGGTATGTATCAACTCGTCTTAGTTAAGGGAATAACATAGTTTAATGTGAAAAAACGGTGGAGTATCCCTTTAAATTAAGGATTGTGTTCAATAGCTTCTTTATTTTTGCTCACCTGCATGAGCCAGAATGGTCAAGCGCATAAGGTGCAGTTACGTTAGTGGACTTTCAGCGGAATTTTGCATGCAAAAATAGGTCCAATGTCAACAGTGTTGACACAGAAGTCACTTTCAAACTAAGCAGCTTTCTGTTGGCCAGGGCAAAAATATTGAGAGACCAACTTGGATGAGCAAAATCTACATAGGGAACTTTTTCGCTCTCAGGTGTAACTCCCGATCACGTGGATTCCTATAGAAAAATTACTGGATTTCTCTGAGCAACGGAAAATGAGACCGCACCTGCAGGCTGCATCCGAAATCACATACATGTCCACTATATAGAAAGAAGTTCTACTACATGTTCATACGAAGTAGAAAATACTTTTTTAATGGTTTCATAAACGGCATAAAAAAAAATTTCTACACAATTTTGGCTCAAACCAAGTTTGAGGAGGGGTTACCCGTTTGGGATTGGGTATAGCTTTATTGTACATTGAGGTTTGTGTATTGTGTTTTGTGTATAAAACACTTGTGTATAACCTTGTTCCGTGTTGATAGCAGCTGTGTGTGCAGAGCCTCCAGTTCATGTTTCAAAGCAGATTTTTCTTGATCTGCAGTTTTCACGAGTCCTCTCTGTTTCACACTTAATGCCTCCATATGGCGGATCTAAAAAAGAACATCATAATCATCATTCTTGCACACATCCTATGGCTGCTAGAGGTGTTTAGTAAACATGTTCTGACCTGATCCTTTGACGTCTGCAGCTCTGAGCTCATCTCGCTCATCTGCCGCTTGAGTTGTTGGTTCTCCTCAGTTAGTGAGGCATGCTCCACCTCCATCAGCCCAGAAAGCTCCTCCCACACACGCCTCCCCTGCTGCTGACCAGCAGACACAACGGAAACCTCCAACAACTGATGTGGAGAAAGAGAGAAAGAGGAAGATTGTTACAATCTTCATCTAATGAAATAACAGAAGCTCCTGTCCTCAATACTCACCCTCTCATTGGCATATTGCAATTTTTTGTGCAAAGAAATCACTTCCTGTTTGAGGGCATCCCTTTCTTGTTGTGTGATGCGTAGGTCAGATTTGAGACGAACGTTCTGCTGAGTGAGTGTCTGTAAAGATGAGTCCAATGACATGACCTGAAGGAGACCAGGAAACATTTGTAAAGTAAAGTGTCAGATGCGAGAGAAAACGGGCAATGAGGGTTTTTTGTACCTTTTCAATGCACCGATTGAGTTCTGATCGAAGCAGGTCTTTTTCTGTCCTGGAAACAATCTCCTCCCGATCACAAAACTGGAAGCAAGCGTGTATGGGTGCATTCAGCATTACATGGGCATGGAGGAAAAAGGTAAATATAATGAACATTCCGGTGACTGGAACTCTGAGCATATTACTATGAAATTTACACATTTAAAACCATACCCCATTCTTTTCATTGGTTGAGCTGTCATGATGACGCATTACTTCCTGGAGCGCATGTCGAAGCACATGATCTGCATTCTGCTGCACTAAAATATTCTCCTCCTCCAGCTGCTGTCCCAGGCGACGAGGCTCTGAGAGCTGGAGAAAAAGACATTAGGAGTGTTTGTTTGTGGACATGCGCGGCTCATTACATGATGTTTAAACATGAAAGTTGAACTTTCTGAGTAATGGAGTTAAATCTCACCTGTCTCCTGAGAGCTTGTGCCGATCTCTTCCCTTGCTTCATGTGTTGTAATCTGGAGAAAGACATTATTTGTTGTCATTCAACAGCTCTTGTAGGAAAATTGAGAGCTCTTAAGGTAAAACAGCAGTGCGCCAGTCTTACCGCAGGTCGTCCTGGTTCTCTCTCAGGTCCTCCTCCCTCACTGTTGAGATTTTGTGCCTCAGAATGAAGTTCTCTTTAGCCAGACGACAAACTTCACTCCTAAACACAGAAGGCATTGTAAATCCACTTGGTGACATTAAATGCAGTACAACAATGACCAAGCATAGCAAAATGATGCATCAGTTTGTTGCATAGAGCATTAGTTCAGACTCAGAGTAAATTTTTTCAGATTAGGTCAAACATTCATTTAGTCTGTTAAATTTACAAGCTCCACATGTTTGCATAGGAATTTTGTAATAGTTTAGACAAAGATTGGGTCACAACTGGTATACAACAGCTACACTACACAGACAGATCTTTTTTGTCACAATACTGAAGTACAACTCCACCAGAGTTTGTAAGTGTGTGGGAGAGATTAATGGTGGTGTTCGGGCCTCTATCTCGGAAAAAAGGCAGGGTCTACACAGGCACTCACAAAGAGGTGATTGAGCAGCAGGGGCAAACGGGATGAGGGAATTGGGGATTCTGGTCTACTAAAGCAGGACAAAAGGGACCATCACATGGTACCTCCGTTCCTGCATTTGTTCATGGATCCTGAGAGATTTGTCCTGCAGATCAGCAAGTTCTCTGCGTAGTTGTAAGTTCTGCTTCTCAAACTCCATGCAGAAGAATTCAAGCTCTGCTACAGCAGCAATCTTCTCTTTTAACTGGGAGTTGCAGGGTGAGTTGTTTGACGTATCGGAAGAGTCAGAGTCCCACTGCGGCACCTTATCCTGTTTATCAAGTTCCTGGAGAAGTACCTTCAGTTTGGAATACTCCACTCCGAGTTGTGCAGTCTTTTCCAGGACAGACGCCTGCTGCTTGTGGAGGTCCAGGACTACATGCATCTTACCCTCCAGACTTTTGACTCTCTTCTCCAGGTTTCTGTTGCGCTCCACAAGCTGCAAGTTCTCTTGGATGCTTTGCTCAAAGCAGATCTTTAGCTCAGCAAGTTGCACATCTTTGATTGTGGCCTCCATTTGGTCAAGACGATTTGGTACTTGATGTATGATATTCTCTTTATCCAGATATTGCCGTTTAGGGCTCTGCAACTGGGAGCTAGTGCCTTCTGCAGCTTTACTGTACTGCATCACTGTTTCTTGAAGATCCAGGATCTCCTGTATGTACACATCTCTGAAATCAGCAACTTTGTCCAGTTCTGTGTCAACTGTGGTTAGGCTACAAACCTTATATGCAAAAGCCCTGATTTCATTCTCAAGACTTGATATGCCGATACCGACCTCTGGATCGTCTTCAATCACAGGTTCAAGTGGTTTGCAATTGTATTCGATCAGTGTGTCATCTGTGCTTGGAGATTCATGGTGTTGCAAGCTCTCCTGGTTATAGGAGGCTTCATTCTCAACCAAGATTTGAGCTTCTATTTCTGTACCATTCAAAATATCCTCCTCGGCCATCTCCAAGGTGTCATCTCTTTGAGACTCTGTACTATTCCTCTCAGCATTCTGCAACTCTTCGTTCAATGCTGCATCTTCAGAACCATCGACTCCAGGATTACTGAGATTCTCCTCAGTCTTTTCCTTCTCTTCTATAAGACAGGCACAATCAGGGGGTTCTGTTCCATTATTGTTAGATTCTACATCAGACATATCTAATTCATCAGCACAAGAGTTTGAAGTTATATCATTTGTAACTCCAATCTCTAGGCATCTGTGTTGCTGTGGATCACCGAGCCCAGAGTCAGTAACTTCATCCATTATGCCTGCTTCCTCTTCATTATCTCTGTTTACAGAAGACTCCTCACATATGAGGTGCTTTGGACTGACTTCATCAGTAGATTCTGTGCAGGTGTATTGGTTGAGTTCACCAAAGGGCTGTACTGTGGATTCTTTGGGAGTTTCTTCACAGTTGTCTCCAGTGGATTCTGCATGGATTCCTTCAGTAGACTCTACGCAAGGTTCCCCCAAGAGTTCTGCAGAAGGCTCTGCAGTGGTTCCTGTCAACTGCAACACAATTCCTTCCAACTGCAACACTCTCAATGCCAGTGCGTCTCTCTCTGCAAGCAGAGCCTTTCTCTGAATCTTTATTTCTTGACAGAGGAGCTCCTCACCCTCCTGGATTGTGCCTTTCAGCTCCATGCTCTCAGTGAATGAAAGTACTTCCCCTCGCCTGCTCTCCAAAGCAGACAGACTCCATTGAAGCTCCGCTCGCTCCTGGATGAAGTCATCCACGGCTTGTTTCAGCATCTCTTCCAGCTCAGTGGCTTTGTTCTCTGCTTGTGCCAGCAGCAAGTCTTTGGCCTCCATCCTATCCTTGTGCAGCTCATTGAGTTGACGGCTCAGCTCAATCTCTTTTGTTCGAGCAGCACTAACAAAAACCTCTAGTTCGGCCTGAAGTTGTAGGTTCTTGTCTATCAGAGCTTTAATATCTTGTGCGTGTGCAAGTTCAAGGCATTGGTTCTCCGTTTTGAGCGCCTCCCTCAACAGCTTCCACTGTTGCTCCGCCTCCTTGGTGGCTGCCTCTGACTCCTCCTTCCAGTGGGCACGATCTGCAGCATGCTGTTGGGCAAGTGCTGCAATCTCACTTTGGTAATGTTGCTCGAGTTTATGTACATCTGCCTCAAAACGTTTAGACACTGCCTCCTGGTCACCATTGAAACGGACCTCCACTTCTTCGAGTCGCTGAGAGAATTGTTTCTGCAGCTCTCTCCTGCACACGGCCAATCAACATCAACAGCTTATAGCATTACGTAAAAGAAATACTCACCAACTCATATCATATGGGACATTTAAAATGAGTGGAGATGAAGAATAGTAGACAGTGATTTTGTATGTTTCAAGATGAGAAGTTAAGTGCTGTTAAATCCAAAAGCACATCACCACACATGGGCTTGAGATACATGACTTTGATGCCTTTATATATCAGGGGTCTCCAACCCTGCTCCTGGAGCAGTGTTTCTCAATCCCGATTCTCAACCCCTTCTCGTTTTAGTGTGGACAAGGCCTAAAATGTGAAGTTCTGGGGGTACTTCAGGACCAGGGTTGGGAAACACTGTTCTAGCAGACTTCTGTCCAAACCCTGCTTCACCACACCTGGATGTAACTAAACTGGTTGTACTAAAGATTGACAAAAATACTTAAGAAAAATCCAATTGTATCCAATTTGAGGACATGCATCAGTAGAAATCTAATTATTTCACACTTAAAAATATCCAAGTTAAGGTTTTTCAGTTAGCAAGTGTGTCTCTTACCTCTGTTCTGCAATGTCTGTGCGTAGTTTCTCCAAAAGGCTGCTGATTCTTTCCCTCTCCTCGCTGTGTTTGGCACACAGCTCCTGCATGGCCTCCTTGTGCGCCTCCTCCATCCGGCCCTGCTCTTCATTCAGCACCTGCTGCCACCTTCTCTCTTGCTCCTCTCTCTCCACATGCAGTCTCTCTCTCTCCTGCTCCAAACAGGCCTGCAGCGCCTCCTCATGCTGTTTCTCCATCTGAGCCCTCTCTCTCCCCCAATGCTCAATTATAATGCTCTCGTTCTCTTCCTGCTGAGTTCGGAGGTGTTCCCTCTCTTCCTGCAAACGCTGTAGTAGCAGAGCGTGATGTTTGTTCTCTAATGAAGCCCGCTCCTCATCCCACTGCTGCCTGAGCCTCCTTTCCCTCTCCAACCTCTCTTCCAGCACGGCCTGCAGCGCCTCCTTACTGATCTCCTCTAGCTCCTGCTTCTCCCGTTCCCACTCCTCTTTCCTCCGTTCTCTCTCCTCAAGGGCAGCCTGCAATGCCTCCCTACTGATATCCACAAGCTCCTGCTTCTCCTGTTCCCACTCCTCCTTGAGCCTCCGTTCTCTCTCTTCCAGCACAGCCTGCAATGCCTCCTTACTGCTCTCCTCTAACTCCTGCCTCTCTCGTTCCCACTCCTCCCTGAGCCTCTTTTCCAGCTCAACACACTCTTGTTCTGTTCTCTGCTGCATCTCCTCAAGCTGAGCACTTAGCACCTCCTCATAGCTCTTCTGCTCTTGTTTCCATTGTTCCGTGAGCCTCATCTCCTCCTTTTCCTTCTCTTCTTGCAGTCTCTCTCTCTGCTCCTGCAGACTTGCCTCCAGCACCTCTTGGTGCTTTGACTCCCTCAAACTCATCTCCTCAGCATGCACTCTGCTCTGCTCCTCATGGGCAGTCTGTTTCTCCTCCAGAACTTGCACCTTCGCTTCCAGCTGTTCTGCACGGCTTCTGGCTTCCTGCGCCTCCTGCGTGAGAAACTGAAGCTCCTGCTGGTGGAGAGTTTGGAGGGCAGAAATGTCCTTCTCCAATTTGTTCGCTCTCTCTAGTTCTCTTGCCATCTCCTCCCTCAAAACCTGCACCTCCTGTTGGTGCTGCAGAGAGAGATGACTTCTCTCCTCTTCTGCGCTGCGTTTTTCTTCATAAACCTACAGAGGGGATAAGAGAGCAACAGTACGTCTTTTATTCTTTGAACAATCCAGGGCAGTTTTGGATTTAATTTCATCTTAAAAGGTATGGTTCACCTAAAAATTTAAACTGTCAGAATTTTTGAGTGATCTCTTTACTGATATGAATGCAAATACACTAACCCCTTCTTATAAATAAATATAAATCTTTTTATTTTTAAAAGTTTTAGTATGCACATCACCCTGATGTCTCACCATTGCCCTGATGTTTTCTATCTCTTGTTGGTGCTGCTCCAGTAACATCTCTGTCTCAAGACTCATGTTTAATGGCTGCCGCTCTTGAGAACCTACACATGCATACACACAAGCACTGCTCATTACATGTGGCAGAAGATGAAATCGAACTGTAAGCATTCATTCAGTGTTGTCTATGAGTATGAGCACACATGTATATGTTACCTGGGTCTGAACTCTTGCTGGCCAGTTCATCAGACAGACTCAGTCCGAGACGTGTCGAGGGTGTGTGACCTGAAGTCTGATATTCCTCCAACTGAGCTTCCAGCTCATCTATACGATCCTGCAGCTCCTACAATACACATACAGATATAGATGTGAATTTCAGGCGGAATAATAGAATGAAACAAATGGAAAGTATACAAAAACAGAGGTTACAGACCCTGCACTGCTCCTCGTAGTTCCTGCGCAGATGTCTGAGACGTTCCTCCTGCTGGTAAAACTCTGCACTGTCTGGATCCAAATCACCAAACTACACACACAGAAACAAAAAGACCATTTAGAAACCCACAATACAATACAATACAATACAATAAATCAGTAATGGTATCACAAATAACAGGATCATCTAAATCAGTGACCAACATCAATATCAACTTTCCAATTGTTCATGATTTATTGGATAAGGATTAAAGAGAAGAATTTTTAAAAATATTTTTACTACATTTTCATTTTAGAAAAATGTTACCTTTCTTACCTAGAAAAATTAATATTCATAAAAATATATTAAAATGCCCATGTAATTATAAAAATTTAGATGGCTTTTCCTGGTCTAGAAATCACACTTTTCAAATTAGACTACCTCATATATATTCAGCTTTTTCAAGACAGTGGGAATGCTGAACTATGTAATCTGAAAGATGTGTCTGTAATATCAGCGGACCTGAGTATGTGATGTCAGCAAAGATGGGTGTCTTTGGTGATGTCACTATCAATCTACGCATGTTTCTCCTCATGTCAATATTGACGTCTGCATCTGTGCTGATTTCAGTACCTTCTCTTTCAAAACACCATCCAGATTGCTCTGCACTTTGTTCAACTGGTTTTCAGCTTCCACCAGTTTCTCTGTGGTCTCAATAAGCTCTGACTCCAGGCGACTATTTTCCTACACGACACAAAGTTATTGAAGACAAACCCATAAAATAGACTCTTCAATTCCAACCATAAAATCAAATCGAATCAATATGACAGGTTGACAGAAATGTGATGTAAACATGTAGCAGGCAATTGATAAGTAAAAAAAAATCAAATGCAAAATGCTGATTACTTTAATGGTGAGAGTTAGGTGTTCTCGTAAGAAGGTTTCATCATCTTTCATCTTGCCAATTCCCTGTTCAAGCTCTTCTCGTTGCTGATTGGCCTGCTGCTGCACAAGCTCCACCTCTCTACTTAGCTCTACCTTCAGAGCAGTCATACTCTCTTTATATTCCTGCTCCAACTTCCTGTACATAATTACATGCATGGACATAAACACACATGTACATGACACATGAATACACATGCTCACACCCACATGCACAGATCATCAATGTCCACAGAACAGGCCTTCTGTGTTTATGCAGCAAGTCTCTGACTGCAGGTAAACAAAGATACTGTTGAAGAAAATGTCACATCACAGATGATATGCAGAGAAGAGATGAGATTGGAAAATTTTACATCTTTAAGGGCTTTCTGCATTTAAAGGGAGCAAGATGGTTCAATTATGAAATTATTGAAAGTGAAATGTTACCGGATGTTAAGTTCGTTGTTGCGTTCGATGCCAGCATGGTGGTCATCCACTTCAGACGCCAGTTGAGATTTCAGTTTCTCTGCTTTGTCCAGATCAAAGCGAATCCTCTCCTTCTCACGCCTTTCCAGGTCAACACACTCACTGTCACAGTAAAGTAGTATGACATTAGAAGCAATCTGGAGCTCTGATGAGTTTTAAATGATCTTGAGTGAATCTGAATAATGAGCTAGATTGATGTAGACATGATGAAGACAATTTAAAAGAGAGTCTTTATAAGCTGGAGTGACGCTGAGTGTGTGAAGTAAATCTGAATAAGGACCTGGATTTAGGCAGAATAACAATTTAGAATAAGAGAAAACAATAAGCTTGAGTCAAACTAACAAAGCTGAGGTGATCTGGAGTGAGTCTGAATTAAATGAAGAGATCCAAAATGAAATTACAAACTAAGATCTGGGGCATGATGTATAAACACTGTCTACGCACAAAAAGAGGCATTGAAATGTGCGTACGCAATCTTAGCGTAAATATGTGCGCACCGTCCGCACACTCTAGACCAGGGCTGGGTGACTTCGGTCCTGGAGGGGGACCGTCCTGCAGAGTTAAGCTCCAACCCTAATCAAACACACCTGAACAAGGTAATCAAGGTCTTTAGGATTGCTAGAAAGCTACAGGGATTTAAGTTTTTATTAGGGTTGGAGATAAACTCTGTGGGACAGTGACTCTCCAGGGCTGAAGTTTCCCATACCATCTCCGGCTTGAGACTGTGCATTCACACTCTTTTACTGGAGTGAGTGAAGCAATTGATTAAACAGAATACACATTAATTAATAGTCCCCTCTCATTAATAGAATTAAGCACTCGAATTACATAAATTCATTATCCAGAAACTTTTTTTTAATGATTTTTAATAGGTTTATTATTCGGGCAGTGAATCTTTGGGTAGGCAGCGAATCGATTCGATTCACGATTCATAGGCTTTCGATTCGATTCAAGAACGATTTTTGCAAATTCAGAAAGATTCGATTCACATTAAAATTCGATGCGATTCGATTAATTCTTAATTTTTTATATGCATTCATAGGATTATTTAAATGCTTCCCCCAATGGGTCTTAGTCAGGGTGTGAATTATAGGCTACAGCTGCCTTCGGGGGTCAGAGAGTGGGAACAAAAAAAAAAAAAAAAAACAACAACAACATTTTGTCTATTGTTAACGTTAGTTCATGTTAGTTTTTAATTAATCTATTATTATAAAAAATATTTACAAAGCCTATAAATTAGCATTTGTAAAAATGTAAACCAAGATTTAAAAAGGCTTTAAAAGTATAGTTAGTTCATCATGTTAACTATTTTGTAGGAATGGATTCACAACCTTAAAGTGTTCCTGGTACATTAAACATCCTTCCATTGTGAGACTAAAAATACCATGAACTTTCCCAACTAAACCTTAACTAACTTTTCCTCATGGAATAGCTACTCTTTGTTTTCTCTTTCCATGTAATAAATGCGCACCCTTGAATAAGTGGGATTTTACTTTAACTGCTACTTTAAAGATGGTAAGAGTGCAGCGAATATGTGAGAGCTGTGAGGACGCGAAATGACGCCGCACAACGCCTCATTAATTTGCGCATGTAGTCATTTAATGTTTATATGTTTTAAAGCACTGCATCGATATAGAATCGCAAATTATTCAATTCTTAGCATTTTAAATCGAATATTGACCGAAATAAACGATTCACGATTCGAAATACATGTTTCAAGATCGATGCATATGCATCTTCAGGATTTGTAATCGATGCATCGAGAAAATGAATGAATCGTTACACCCCTATTTATTATTAGTAGTACTAGTATTACATAACTAGAAAAATATTTTGAATATTTTATTAATTTTTATTATGCTTCCAGATTTAGAAATGACACTTTAAAAATTCCCTCTAATTTTTCCAAGACTGTGGGAATCCTGATTTTCAAATAAAATTATGGTTGTTGAGGTAATACATTAAAATGAGAAATGTGATTTTTGTTGTTGCTGCTGTTTTACCTAATTTTAAAATATATTTTGTCTTATTTTAAAGCTGCAGTCCGTAGTTTTTCCTCTTTGTCGCCATCTCTGTTCGAAATCTGCAATTGCAGTTATTCGGAATTATAAACTTTACGTGAGTTGTGCCTCGGCACGGCACAGAGCGGATGAATCCAATGTTTTCAGGAGAATGTGCTGTCAGTCACCTCGCCGGTGTGGATACCGTAATTCGGAATCACAGATTATACTATTTGGAAGTATGACCAACATAAGAATTTTCACCAGAAAATGTCATCTGAACAAGTAAGTAACAACCACTTTTGTTCTGAACAACTAAGGGGAAAAAAAAAGCATTGCAGTAAATCACGCTGATTAAATCTAACGATTGCTTATCATATCACGTCAAACCGTGCAAATTATACTTTCTTCTCAAATTGTAATGTTAACAACATCAGCTTTGCGTGACTACATTTAATGCCCTTCCGATATTATCCTCGTTTTCGCATGGGCCCGATTGCAGTCTCTTTTTTTCTGTAGCCACTCCGAAGTCCGAACGAAGTCTTTTGCATTTTACAGCGGGTGAATCTGTTGTCACTGGTGATTGTCGTTTGAACCTTTCTGGATCCGCCATCAAATTGATAAGTTTAATTATATCAAGTGCTGTGGGAAAAGGCTATAAATCTCCACCTCCAACATCCTCACTCGCAATATAGCCTACTAGCCGAGACTCTTCTTTATGTGTACAGATGTGACGTAATGACGCAAAGACAAGCTCGAATCTCCTGCGGAAATCCACCAGTACCACTGGAATTAAAAACATTACAACAAGCTTACCGCTTTGAATCAAGGCTAGCAGAAAGTTTTGAACACTGGCTGGTTATATACTTGCTCAAAAAAATGTGGGGATAATTTTTAACCCAAAAAAGTTACGGAATGCAGATTTAAATAATTTAAAGCCATCTTGTGGCCCCCTTGGAATTGTGCTGAGGCCTCCTGGTTGAGAACCACTGAGCTAGAGTAAGTGTGATTAACAAACTAAAGTGATCTAGAATGATGCAGAATGAATAGCTACAGTGCTCTAGAGTGATGATTAGAGTAATGAGCTGGCGTGAGTGTTAGTACACAAGTTGGATTTAATGAATGATTATTACGATGATCATACAAATTAGTAATATGAATCATGCAGTAGTATGCTGGAGAAGTTCTAGTTCTAGATAAATCTAGACCGAGCTTGAGTGAGCTGTGAGAGTTGGAATGAGCTAGAGTTCAAATACATGGACTCACAGCAGATGTCTGATTTCTGCCTTAAAGCTCACTAGCGCCGCTTGGTGGATCGAGTTCTTAGTGCTCAGCAGCTCATTCTCTAGAGCAACGGTCAGCTCAGACAGATTCACTTTACCTTCCAGATTAAAATCCAGAGCCTACAGACAGACACACACATAAAAACTTGTTACGAATATCCCAGATTAAACGGAGAGTTGTGTAGATGCACAGCGTCTATGTGATTTACCTGTAGGATTTCAGAGCTATTGTCCACTCCCTCTTCCATCCACCGGTAAAGCAGAGTTTCCACAGGAGCGTGTCCCGATCCATCATCCAAATCTGAAAACACCTGCAGACCGATTGTACTGCTCAAAGCACAGGAGATCCTTCGGCCCGACTCATCAAACTTGAAAGAGAGAGAGAGAGATGGGGAAAAGAGGTTTAACTATTATATTTAGGCATGTTTTACGCACAACCTATTTTTGTGTACTACCTGAGTAGAATGGTGTCTCTTTAATTGTCTGTAGGGTGTAGATACTGACGGTGTGGGTGGTTTGCTGTGGTTTATTATGCACGAGATGAACTCCTGCACATCCATTAAACTTTCATCAGCACCCTGCAACAGATCCTCACCCACCTGGGAACATTTAAAAACACAAGAACTGCATGTTAAAGGTCCCCTGACATGAAATTTTCACTTTCTAAGGTTTTTTAACATTAATATTAGTTCCCCTAGCCTGTATTTGGTCCCCTCGTGTCTAGAATTTTCAATCGGTGTAAACCGAGCTTTGGCTATTTTTCTCTTCTCTGCAGCTCAGACGCGCTGATCTTGAATCTCCTCGTAATGACGTCATAACGAGGAAAGGTTACCTCCCCTTTCTCTGCTTTGCCCGCCCAGAGAATTTGGCTCGCCCATGAGAAAACGAGCTAGGAACAGGAAGTACGAACGCGCCGGCGCGATTTGAGTTTTTCCTCGAGAGATATCATGGCTTGCAAACGAGCGACGCACGACAGTTGATCAGTGTTCGGATGTACAAATTAACACAAAAGTATTTTTTAGTTCCTTCATCCGAGCCTCTGAACAAACAATGGGTTAATTTTATTTTCTCTAGAAATGCACCGACACAACTTCCCAAAGTTTTGTATGGTCCAAACATTTCACCGACGACTGTTTCCTCAACTCGATGAACGTCTGAAAATAAATCCATCGAGCTACCAAGCAACAATTTCTGATGTGTAACGTTAAGCCTAATTGTTCAAGTTCAGACAGGTAATCTTTCTCTCAAAATCGTTCAATACTGTTTATGCATCAGTAAGTCTAGCCAGTGACTAAAATATCAACTTCACATCGTTTCTTTTAGTAGGATGAAAATAATCTTATTTAAATTCTGAACAAATTATACAGAAAGCGATCAAAGAACAATCTTTCCACACAGCGCGAGTTTATCTGGACAACTCGTTATGAAATCAATGACGCACGTTACACTGCACAACGAAGCTCTTACTGTATGTACATCATCGTGTTTGCATTGGTGAAAGCATTAGAGAGAGTGCAGAAACTGCGTTGCAATGATAAGATCTTCATACTCGCGATCAACAGACTGTCATCTGCTCAATGCTCATCACGGCAACATTTTATGTGATGGGAATAGATCTAAATACTTTAAAAACTTCTCACGATTCGTTAATCTCGATAGCTGTAATAGTAAAAACGTATAATAGCTGTAGTAAAAGTCTCCGAGAAAGTTTCGCATGCAATACATAGCTATTTCATATGCAAGCATGTCAGCCAATCACAGCAGTGGCTGGCTACACTGAATCCCACAGCAGACACGCCCCTTCAAACAGAGCGTTCAAATCAGAGACTAAAATCAGGCTAGGAAAAATGACTATTTTTGATCTAAAAAACATACTAACATTATAAGGGCAACCCAGGAAACATTATAAAATAATAAAATAACCCCATGTCAGGGGACCTTAATATGGTATTTAACCACTTAGGGCCCTATCATACACCCGGTGCAATGCGGCGCCAGGCGAGGCACAAGTGTTTTTTGCTAGTTTCAGCCTGACGCAGTTAGAATTTTTACGTCCTGCACCACGTTGTTTAAATAGCAAATGCATTTGCGGCCATTTGTGCACCCATGGGCGTGCTGGTCTGAAAACGAGGTGTGTTTAGGTGAATTGTTGGAGCGTTGCTATTTTGAGGCAACTGAAATAGACTTCTAGCAAGGAAACGGATCTGCTCGTGCACGAGGTTAAAACACGTGAGCAGACCATCTACGGGACAAGCCAGATTCCACCATATCTTTATGTACACAATAACAAAAAATACTGCGAATTTAGACCACTTTTTTGTTGGTCAATGGCGCAGTTTTTGTTGTTATTTAAAGGGTGCATTAGTAATATGAGCCTATAGGCGGGTGCACACCACGCGTACACTGCTTATTACACACACAGGAGCACACAAACATGGCAAATATTAAAAATAAAAGTATTACAATGTAAAAGTTATTATTGTGTACATAAAGATATGGTGGAATCCGGCTTGTCCCGTAGATGGTCTGCTCATGCGATTTAACCTCCAGCACGAGCAGATCCGTTTCCTCGCTAGAGAAGCGTTCAGTCTTGAAAATTACGCCATTTAAATAGCGAATCCGCTGTGGCGCGAGCGCAACTGCCTTTTAAAGGGAATGGGAGATGAGACTCTGATTGGTTTATTGCACGTTACGCCCAAAACACACCCATTACTCTTTACGAGAACAGAGACCATTTTTCCGTCTTTAAACTAGCAAAGTGGATTCGGGCACGCTCTAAGTGCCCTTAGATCATTAAAATAGGGCCCTTAATGTATCTCAGGTTGTGATGATGGAAAATACCTCAATGCCTATGCGCTGGCAGAGTGTGTGTAGCTGTTTCAGTGTGGCCATGCCATTTATGGGTAGAGAGAGCTGATGACAGGCATTCTGCAAACGCTCCTCCAAGTCACAGAGTGGCACCGCATTGCCTCGTGGTGTACTGGGTTCATCAGGGTTCCAGAGGTGCATCTGACCTGCACACAAACCAGTGTAAATCTCTGGCAAAAAGGAAGATTTCTGGGGGGTTTGAGAGTATTTAACCTTACCTTCTGCTTCAAACTCTTCAGAAATGCTCATGTCAGCATTCCAGCGCTATAATTAAAATAAAAATAAAATGCACAAATGAAAAACTCTTGTTATCATCACACTCCCAGGAGGGGGCAGTACTAAGCAACAACGAGACAGCAAAAGATGTTAAAATGGTGAACAAATAAGGAGGGGTGTTAACTGTCACATTACTCAATGTCAAAACAAATGCCTTCAGTGATCAGCTAAGCAATGTGTGAAACACTGCCTATACAGGCAGGAATTTAATAATGTACATAAAAACACTACCGTTTAAAAGTTTGGGGTCAGTAGGATTTTTTTTTTCTTTAAAAGAAATAATGCATTTTATTCAGCAAGGATGCATTAAACTTATCAAAAGTGACAGTAAAGTCATTCGCATGGTTACAATACATTTTTTTTTTTAACTTTCTATTAAAAGATTACTGGGGGAAAAAAAAGTATCACAGTTTCTACAAAAACATTAAGCAACAAAACTGTTTTCAAGATTGAAAATAATAAAAAAGAAAAAAGATCTTGAGCAGCAAATCAGCATATTAGAATGATTTCTGAAGGATCATGTGACACTGAAGACTTGAGTAATGGCTGCTAAAAAATTATAAGTTTTGCCAAAGGAATAAATTACATTATAAATGTATTAAAATAGCTAACAGTTATTTTAAATGGTAATAATATTTCACAATATTACTGTTTTTAATGTATTTTTGATCAAATAAATGCAGCCTTGGTGAGCTTAAATGACTTTTCAAAACATTATATTATATAAAATAACTCAATAATAAATAACCAAATAAAAAATAAGTAAAAAATATATTAATACAAAGCCACTCAATCAATTACTTCCCTATTGTTTAGTCAAGATCATTGTGTGGGTGTTCAAATATGGACAGGGTGAATTTCGGGGGGTCTAGGGAGCAGATGGAGAATACTTGCAATGGAATTCAGGGGGTAGGGAGGGGTCATTGTTCGTCAATAGACACCCACCCCCCTCCAAACACACACCCCGCACATCTGCTATCATAGAACCGGAGGATTGTTCACACATCAGAATATCAGAGAGAGCTCTGCGCAGCAGTGTGTATTAATGTGCACCTGCTGGAGAGCGTGGCCAGAGTCACACACAAAAGCTCACAAAACACACGTCAGCAGGAATTTGCTAAAAAATCTTTTCATCACAAGATAGGGTTAGTTTGACTCGATAGTTTGAGTGCTTTAAAGCCAGTGGGATGTGTCTTCTGAGACTCTAAAATCTCATTAATTCAGTATTTACACTGAACTGCTGTCAGAGCATAGGGCAAAGACACACACACAGTGTGTTTCTGCTTTTTCAGAGCTAGTTCGAAATTTGCGACGGAAATAATTTGAAAGTTTTTCTCAAGGAGACTCACAACTTTAACCTTCATCTTATCTGTGTGTTCAGATATGGATGATTCCAAACGAGAAGAATGTGCCTTAACCTTAACCGTTATTCATGTCTGTGTTTGTTACCTCACGTTTCCTGGGTACAGTCCTGTCATCGCTCTCTTGAGCATCTTCATCCTTCTCCTCCTCATCTTCAGCCTGTGTGTGTGAATCAGTGTGTGTGTGAATGAACTCCGGAGCAGTGCGACGGCCATAGCGCTTACTGCCCTTGACAAAGCGTGGCTGGACTTCTGGGGAATCTAGGGGAGAGACAAAAGGACTCTTGCACCATTTAAACTATAATACATTTCTGCACAGTAAAATCTAACACTCTTTCACAACATTTGCGCAAGGGATCACTAAGTCAGAAATTATTCTATGCTGATTTGGTGCTCAAGAAACATTTACTTATTATTATTATTATCAATGTAGAAAACAGTTGTGCTTCTTAACATTTTTGTCAATACTTTGAACGGAATGTTGCGATGAACAGCATTTACTTGAAATCTTTTGTAATAGTCTTTACTGTTAGTTTTGATCAATTTAATACATACTTGATTAAAAGTTTTATTTCTTTCCTAAAAATTCGTACTTTTAAGGAAACGAACATCATAAAGACTTGGAAACGGTGACGGCCAGTAATAAACCACTTAGCAACCACACAATGTTCTAAAAACACCATAGGAACCACATAGCAATGTCCAGACTACCATCATTAACTGCAAATTTCATAATTAGAGAAGAGCTTGTTTTAAGATAGAATAGTCTTCATTTACACTCTCACTGCTCTCAGAATAATCCTTAATCCAGATTTAACCTCACATCCTCCCTATTTACTCCCTGAGCTCCCGCTGTCAGGCTTTTAATACATCCTCGGTTACATCAGGATGTCCAAACACTGAGCAAAACCGTTTCATCACAACCTGCAGTTTCAAGTTAAAGTAAATAGTCTTATAAGTAAAATATATCTTATAATTTAATTTTGTAATATAGTCTCATACAATAGTCATAAGTCAAGCAGACTCAAGAACAAATGGCGGCAAACACAAAGAGACTATATTATACCTAAACAGATCTTTATTTCCATACAGGTAGCCTAAATATTTATTGCAGCATGTTAGATAATGATTGCTTGAAAATGGAGTTTAAATGGTAAATACTAATGCCAATATCTAGACAGCTGCCTTATCCAATGACCAATATATATTTAGAGTTAAATAATTATTTCTGATGCCAAACATTTAAAATTATCAATGAAGTAGTTCAGTAATCAATGAAGCAATGATGTCCGTTCAAGATTACCATTACATGATTCAAACCTGCATTATTTTGGTTACCAGCCCAGTTCTTAACATAATAAGCTACATTATGAGGATGTTACCTGGCTGTTCAAGACATTCCTCTGGATCATCTGTGTTTGTACTTGACAACACGAGGATCAGCACATCCTTAAACTGTTCGAAATCAACCTGAAAAATGTAAAAAGTAGCAATAAACCACTCCTCTTTTCATCCAAGTCTATAAAGACTATGCAGCTTCTTGTTTTAGATACTCTAAAAAATGTTTTTTTTTTTGTACAAAATACAAAGTTTCTGAAATGTAATCCACGCTGAAATTCCCCTGACCATTAACAGTATTAAAAAAAACTAAATCACACAAAAGAAAAGAAACTAAACTAAAATATGCATGTTCTCTTACCCGTGCACTGATCTGGTCCTGCAGCAGTGTGTGTAAGAGTGTGTTCAGTGTGTTCTCCTCCAGCTGAAGGGCCCGGCAGAGATCGGTCAGTTCTTCAGGACTCAGAGAGCCCAAACCACTGCCATCAAAACTTTCAAACACCTCTTTCAATCGTTCCTCATACTGGTCCCTCGCTCCATCCATCAGCCTTTCCTACAGAGACACGGAGTTACACATTCTGCCCACTGACATTTGACTTATTTAAGCAGATAGTTCACCTCCACACTCACAAGAACTCCAATTTCTTCCTGTTCAAAACACAAGGATGCAAAAAGAGCCATCAGAAACCAAAGAAAAAAATGGACAAGAAGAACGACGAGCTCAAGCGCAAGTGCCTGACACACACTGGTCACTTCTACCAGAGAGGCTGTATTGGATTTCAGCCATTAAAGGACTACAGCTTTTATAACAGCAGAGCTCTTGTAAACTCAAACAATGTTCCCAGACTTGACTAATGGATTTCCTAAACCTTTTAGGCGTTCAGAAGGATAAGGAGCATTTAGAAACTCCAGCCTAATTTTCATGTCAGGTAACAATCTTTTGAATTAATAGGTGTACATGAGGGGATGTGTAATAAATCAGTACCATTTCAATTATCTGCCAATATTATTACCAATTATTATAATAAAATAAATAAATAAACACTACTTTTGCCATGATCTAACAAAAAAATGAATTATGTTAATTTTTAAAGACACTAATTAACACGGTTAAATGTAATTTTTCACAAATCTTAAAATTAATATCCATTTTTCATACTTAAAATTATAATGTGATGATCAATTCAAATAAAAAAAATTTCAAAACTGATTTAAATTTTTTGTATTTTATTTCTTATTTATTTAGACAATTTTAATAATCAGCCATAACAAGAAAATAACTATCAGTTTATTAGAGACGTCCCTAATACTTGCTACCCTGCAAATGTCTCCAAAATAACCCCGACGGACAGACTAAAATTGCAATGGTTGTTTGCATGCAAGTTTTACTCAATGCTCATAGCTATTGAGAGTGTGTGTGTATAAGATTGAAAGGGAACATTTAAGCTTGATCCACAAAAATGGAGAGCATACAGACCTACAGCACTATTTCTGACACACAAAATCCATCCGCTCAGGAAGAGAAGAGATCTGTGGGCTAAATGCAGAGCGGTGCACAGATGAGAGAGGCCAACGTCAGGACACACAAGTTAGAACTACTGAGATGATGAACACAATCAGGGCTGCATGATATATTGACAATTTTGAAATATCGCAAATGTGCATATCGCAACATGATTTTAATACTCCAAAAGATTACAAAAAAAAAGCGCAAGTGCAAGGTCACGCAGAGAGTAGACTGGACACATGACTGTTACATACGTGTGACATTCTTAATGTATAAGCCCAATAAGTGAAGTACTCACGCACACAGAAAGCCGCCTCTCGGACAGCGCGTGACTCCGAATTCACTTCTCTTCCGCAGCTTATACGGCCAAATACACACGAAATTATAACTAAATCTTGGCGAGTACTCAGTAGGGGTGTTGAATTCCGTGTTTTTGGAATCCACTAAGAATCACTATACATTTCATACAGTGAAGACGAAGCAGCGTTTTATTTTTACATTTGATTATTCAATATCTGTTGTTAAATAAACCTAATGTAGGCCTACCTGAAACCCTAAACAACCCCCCTGGTTTACACTGATGTTAAAATGACACTTACTTTTAATGTAATGCTACAGTAAAACACAGCTGTTCACTTTCAGAAGTTGTTTTCACAAAAAAGAATGTAAAACATGCGTGTTGGTTAAATCATTTTAAGTTTTTAAATATAATTTACATTTATTTTACACAAGTAAAGCATTATTGTATTGCATATTGCATTATTTAACAAGTTATTGCATTTTTCTTCAATATTGTGCCGCCCTAAAAACACAATCAAACATACGACTGCAGTGGTTGTCTTTTGTCCCAAGGTGCCCTGACACCTCTGAAAGGCTTACAAGCATAGGCTGTAAGTGTGTGTATGCATTTCTTATTCTTCAGTGGATGGTGCACGCACACACACACACACACACACACACACACACAAAGGGGGAGGGTGTTTGGTGCCCATCTGCTCATTGCCAATGACATCACCGGCCCCTTACAAGGACGTCTGAGAGTAGCCAGGTGTTCCTCTATTCAGGAAGAATAGATTCAGAGTATATGGACGAGGTCATATTTGGAATTGATTTTCAGGTGACATTTATTTCTAAGCATATAAAATGTACAGCATCGATCAAAATACTTTTCAATCTCAGTCTGAACAATTATAGCTGTAATGTTTAATACCGGATTCATTTTAAATACTAAAGTTGTAAACAGGGTAACCACAGTTTTTAACCAATGAATTTGTGATAATTGGATTTTTTACATTTTATTTTTTGCATTCATTTAAATTTTATTGAGATTGTAATCAAAAATAGGTATTATTTTTTTCCAAAAAAGAAATTTTTAGACTGAGCATAATTGAAACAAATTCAAATGGATGTCCTAAAACTGAATTTTAAAATTGTATTAAATAATTTCATTTTAAATGCACATTATGATATTTCCAGGTCTGGAAATCCCCCCCAAAAAAATTGCAGTTTTTTTAATGACCATGGGAACCATTCTCCCAGCAAATAATGCACAAGTAACAATTGTACTGCAAGAATACATTTTAAATCATTTTCCTAAGTAATATTACTAGAAAATATCATATGTATGTCAAAGTCTACTTTGTTGGCAATCAGCGAGCGGCACCCATTGAAGCTCTGGTATCTGATAGCAACAGGTCTCATATTATAGTGCTAGAACAGGATAAGAGAATAGATTATGAGACATCTGAGAAATCTTTCAAATGTTAGGTATAATACTAAATATCACTTTTAGATATTCATTTCTAATAACTAATATAAACCCAGCTCATCAGCAATCCAGTAAAACCTAATCAACAATCATAGAGATTTCAGCATCATGCAAGTGAAACAGACACAAAGGAAGACAACAGACACACATCAGAGACAGATGGATTGATTCAGCCGCAGACAGAAAACTCATTGGTATTAGTGGTGTCTGATTCTGTTTCCACTTAGTTTTGAACGACTTTTAAATAATTAGTCGTTTTAAAACAATGACACAACAACCTGTTGAAAACCAACTTCCCTCATCACATGTCTACAGTTCTGCAATCTCAGATGATTGAGGTCATCAGGCCATAACAGTAACTATTAGCAACATAAATACACACAGCAACACTAAATACACAAACACGCCATTAAACACACACACAAGATCACTGGTGTAAAGCCTACCCAAACACTTCATTTACCTAACATTAACTCTCAGGTTGGTTTGTGGTATAAGAAAATAATTTTAAAAATCTTTGTATGTAGAAGATACAAAGTTCTGAACTTCAACATTGTCAGTCACAAATGAATCACCAAATCAAATTACGACTCAAGCTCAATAAACCATATGCAGGACACAATGTTTAAAATGAATGCATGAATCTGTTAGGAGTGAGATGACTGTGATTTGTGTGTGATTAAGTCAAAGTTAAACCCATCAGAACATACCCGGCGGTAGATGCGCGCGCTCTCTCTCCGTTATTCGGCTAGAAGTCCATTAGTTTGATCCAGAGCTCGCGCTCAAACTGAACCGTTCTGCTAGTGTTTGGATCTAATACCGGGGCTAGCTGTGAATGAGTTGTATTTCTGCTGAGTGCTCGGGTCAGCGTGCTACATTGTCTGTTATAATGGGTTGGTCAGGGAGATTTTGAAAGGCCCTGCAGGAGGAAGAGGAGGAGACGAGCAGAAAAACAGCGCGCAACAGCGCCACCAGCATGACACTGAAGGAACTACAACACCTGTTGAGCTAAGTCCTAGACGAGTTCTTTTTATTTTCTCCTTTTCTCACATTCAATACTATGAAGATTTATTAGCTTTTTTTTTGGAGTGCCGCATTATCAAATAATCCACTCTAATTTTGGGGTAGGTGAAATGATTTAATCTGAAAAAAGTCTCTTACCAAGGCTGTAATTATTTAATAAAATACAGTAGTAGGCTAACATTGTGAAATATTAATACAATTTAAAATAACTTTTGTATTTTTAAAATCTAAATTATTCTTGTGATTGCAACTCTTGAGAAACATTTCTTATTATCAATGTTTAAGTGGTTTTGCTTAATGTCCCCCTGTGGTGAAAATGAAGTTTTTAATGTTGTTTATATGTCTATGGGGTGTTTTTAATATGCTTTAAGACAAGCCATGTACAAATTCATCAGTCAACACCATTGCTGAATATTTTCTCCTTAAAACTGCAGTGAAAAAAGACAGTCAACAAAGCGGTTTTGAAATCGCCAGTGTTTCTTATGTCACAAACTACCTTGTAACCAATCACGTCACGACTAGGGGGGCGGGCTTAAGCATATCATTAACTATTCTCTGAAGCAGGGCAGTCTCAAGAGAAGCCAGGTTATCCAGGTATATTTTTCTGTAAATGAAATTAAATAAAATGGGAACATGGTTTGTGTAACATTTGCAACACATTATTAGCTGTTTGATAACAGTGAAGCCAAAGGCTAATAATATCAATTACTGCTATGCATTGTTATCCAACGTTGTAAAGAGCGATACAAAACACATTAACCATTCTGATATATTGATTTGTAGAGGAGCCTGTATGAGTGAGTGGAGGCGGGGCTCATTTGCATATTCATGAATTCGCTTAGGAATTTTTTATTAAATATGCAATTTTGGTGATCAAAGATGAGTTTTAATGGTCAAATTATTGACTACAGGGGAACTTTAATGTTTTTTGTGTAAACGGTGATACTTTTTTCCCAAGATTCCGTGGTGACTAGAAAGATTTGAAAAGCATTTATTTGAAATATGATTTTTGTAACAATGAAAAGGTTTTTACTCTCCCTTTTTATCAATTAATCCCTAGTATTCGATAGTGTATTTATTTGTTAGATGCTTACGGTGTATTCATTCAGGTACATTTTGTGTTCCTTGAAATATATCGCGCAAGCTTGCCATTGCAAGCCCTTGCTCTTTGGCAAAACTTTTCTTTTGTACTATTAAAGTTCTAAATGTCAATATGATGAACAGTGCAACTCTTTGTCTTCTGCCTCTCATCACTCTCCTTTTTCACACTGTCATTTTTTTTTAAATTTTCGAATGAAATTGATAAATAATAATAAGTGCTTTTCTTGACACTCAAGGCGTTTTACACATTTGGAAGGTAAAAGAAAAAAAAATCTCCTCAACCACCACCAATATACCTAAAACCAATATATTGACTGATAGCTACTATATGAATAATTTGACTTCAATGTTGAATTAAAACATAATTTTTATTTTAGCTCTTTGCTAGTACAATCCATTCATTTAGAAAGTCATGCGTGAACATTTAAAAACTGAAAGCAAACCTGGAAAATGTATTCATACCAAGTAATTAAATTAACTTCTAACAAGTCTTCTCACGATTCTATAACTGCACTGACGTGTTCAGATCTTGCGCAAGGCGCGCGCGGTTTCCTCCAGGGCTTCACGTGGTTCACTGGGAGGAGGGATCTTCAGGTCAGTGGGCTCCA